CTAGATTTGCATCATAGCCTAACAAAACAAAAACAAAACTTAAACAATCAACAGAATGACTGGATTTATATACAGTATTAACTTAAGTTTGTCTTCATCGTAGTTTATTGCATAAATCACAACTGGTTTTTTACAACTCCCTAAGCCAAACTAAAACTGGGTCAGTCGTCAGGAACTGAGTTTACACTTGCTTGGGATAAACCCATGTCCATCATCTGACAATTTTTTTTACAAAAAAAATTAAAATAAAGTATAAAAATAATAATTAAAAATAATAAATAAATAACCATAAACAAATAAATAACCATAAACAAATAAACTCAACGGGCAGACTTGATGGAGCGGTAGGTTTTTTTCTGCTGTCAGTTTTCTATGTTTCTATGGAACAAAACAGGCCATGGTTTTCCCAGTTGCAATGTATGGCTGTGAAAGCTGGATCATAAGAAAGGCTGAGCGCCAAAGAATTGAGGCCTTTGAACTATGGTGCTGGAGAAGACTCCTGCGAGTCCCCTGGACTGCAAGGCGATCAAACCGGTCAGTCCTAGAGGAGATCAACTCTTGACTGCTCTTTAGAAGGCCAGATCCTGAAATTGAAACTCAAGTACTTTGGCCACCTAATGAGAAGGAAGGACTCACTGGAGAAGAGCCTAATGCTGGGAAAGATGGAAGGCAAGAGAAGAAGGGGATGACAGAGAATGAAGGGGCTGGATGGAGTCACTGAAGCAGTAGGCGTGAGCTTAAATGAACTCCAGAAGATGGTAGAGGACAGGAAGGCCTGGAGGAGCGTTGTCCATGGGGTCACAATGGGTCAGACACAACTTCGCAACTAACAACAACAACAATGAAGCAAAACACTATATGTCATATAGTGGTATTTGACAAGTTCTGGATGTATGAATTTCAACTGTAGGAATTCCCTCCTCGTTGCTGAGATTTCTGGAAGTTGCCCTCTAGATATCTACCAAGTTGCCATGTGTAGAAAACTTATAGGGTGTCCAGACTAGGCTATCTCGATTTCACTCAAGAAACAAAAAAAGGATCGGGAAACATTATCAGTCAAATGGGCCAGTTTCGACCCACTAGCCATAGTCCTATCAACTTTGCAACCAATGTCTTTTTAAATATACCTTAAACAATAAACTTGCAGAGTCGCGGAGGAGAACAGCAATGGAGATGAACAATTATGCAGATCAGAGTCATGTGACATGTATGTTTCTAAACTATAGTAGCATTTTGGCCACTGCTGTTGTTCAGCTGGTAAAAATCTTGCAGAACGATATATGTCACGGCAGCAGAAAAATAATCTTAAGTCATTCCTCTTAATCAGCCAGAATTTTGGCACGGTTAAGTTCAATACTATAAGATTATCAGGCAATAGAAATTGCCCATCTTGATGGTAAATACCAACAGTTAACAGTTAGCAACTGTCTTGTAATGACAGCCTTAAGGGCACTTTGAACATTGTTTTACAATTCATTTGGGTTAACTTACATTCCATGCATTTGGAAACATGGATGTTTCCTAGAAACCATATTTCTCTAGAGACCATTTTCCAGTATAATTGTATTATTCTTTCTAGCAACACTGAACGTAAATCGGATACAGCTTTTTCAGCGTGTATCAATGTTTTTCTACAATTTTTGTTTTGCATTAATAAAGAGGCTCTCTAACCCATCACCTGTACCTAAATATCCACTCTCAAGCACCCTGAACATCATGCAGATTCACACTAGGTCCAGAACAAGCTGCATGACGATCTGTCATCTTGAAATCAACAGGAATAAACAAAGAGGCCAAGTTTTAAACATTCCCCATAATTAGCTAGACTGTGAGCCAAGCGGAGAGCTGCAGAGGGTCACACCCAAAAAAAGCATCACCCTGGATCCATACTTAAGCAACGGGGATCTATCTTCTCTTTCCTTGCTAGTGTCTGCGTCAGTGGTGAGATTCAAATAGGTGAACAACTGGTTCTCTGTGTGGATGCCGCTTCCAGAAGTCCGTTCTGGGCCTGGGCAACAAAAAATTAGCTGCGGGTTCTGCCAAAGTGGTGCGAACTGGCTGAATCCCACCACTGCTCTACATCCCTCTTAGGTAAGGCAAGCAGGAGTGACAATAGCCTCTTTCTCACCAGCCTCGGAAGCCCAGTTCATGGGCCCATTATCCACATCTGTAGAGAATTCTCTACAGGTATTTGTTGAGACTCTAGAAGGAGTGCAGAGAAGAGCAACTGAGGTAATTAGGGGGCTGGAGGCTAAAACATATACGGAACGGTTGCTGGAATTGGGAATGTCTAGTCTAATGAAGAGAAGGAAGATAACATGATATCAGTGTTCCAATATCTCAGGGGCTGCCCCAAAGAAGAGGGAGTCAAGCTATTCTCCAAAGCACCTGAAGGCAGGACAAGAAGCAACGGATGAAAACTAATTTCCACCCCAGGCCACCCCAACGATGCCCTTGACGTGATGACCCGTTGCCTGGAGGCCGTACGGGTCTGGATGGGGAGGAACAGACTCAGGCTCAACCCTTCCAAGACCGAGTGGCTGTGGCTGCCGGCGCCTCGGCATAGTCAGCTGATTCCATCGCTGTCTATAGGGGGCGAAATTTTGGCCCCCTCAGAGAAG